TGGAATGTTCATGAACTTTCCCAAACAACCAAGTATGTTTAAATTGTATTATGCTGATTAATATATTAAAAATAAAATTATAAAAATGTATTATTATAAATGACTATGATTTTTGAAATTTATTTTTCAATCTCCTAGCCACCAGTTTGGAACAACCAGGAATGCACATGAACTTTCCCAATCAACCAAGTATGTTTTAATTGTTTTATTCTGATAATATATTGAAAAAAAATATATAGAAATGTTATTTATTATATGATTATAATTTATAAAATATATTTTTCCACCTGCTAGCCCCAAATTTGGAACAACCTGGTATGCAAATGAACTTTTCTAATCAAGGAGGTATGTTTAAATTGTATTATGCTGAATTTTATATATAAAATTAAAATATAGAAAAGGTTTTTATTATATGACTATGATTTTTAAAAGATGCTTTTCTTCTTCCCAGCTACCATCATAAAACAACCTGGAATGCACATGAACTTTCCCAATCAACCAAGTATGTTCAAATTGTTTTATTCTGATAATATATTGAAAAAAAATATATTGAAATGTTATGTATTATATGATTATAATTTATAAAATATATTTTTCCACTTCCTAGCTCCCAATTTGGAACAACCTGGAATGCAAATAAACTTTTCTAATCAAGGAGGTATGTTTAAATTGTATTATGCTGAATTTTATATTTAAAATTAAAATATAGAAATGTTTTTTTCATATGACTATGATTTTTGAAACTTATTTTTTAATCTCCCAGCCACCAATTTGGAACAACCTGGAATGCACATAAACTTTCCCATTCAAACAAGTATGTCTAAATTGTATTATGCTGATTAATATTTTAAAATAAAACTATAGAAATGTTTTTTATTATATGATTATGATTTAAAATATTTATTCTTCCACTTCCCAGCCACCAATCTGGAAAAGCCTGGAATGCAAATGAACTTTCATAATCAAGGAAGTATGTTGAAATTGTATTATGCTGAATTTTATATTTAAAATTAAAATATAGAAATGTTTTTTATTATACGATTATAATTTATAAAATATATTTTTCCACTTCCTAGCCCCCAATTTGGAACAACCTGGAATGCAAATGAACTTTTCTAATCAAGGAGGTATGTTTAAATTGCATTATGCTGAATTTTATATTTTAAATTAAAATATAGAAATGTTTTTTTCATATGACTATGTTTTTTAAAACTTAAGTTTTTAATCTCCCAGCCACCAGTCTGGAACGACCTGGAATGCACATGAACTCTTCCAATCAACCAAGTATGTTTAAATTGTATTATGCTGAATTTTATATTTAAAATAAAAATGTAAAAATGTATTTTTATATTTGACTATGATTTTTAAAACCTAATTTTCAATCTCTCAGCCACCAATTTGGAACAACATAGAATGTATATGAACTTTCCCAATCAAACAAGTATGTTTAAATTTTATTATGCCGATTATTATTTTTAAAAGAAAATCATAGCAATGTTATTTTTTATATGATTATAATTAAGATAATTTATTATTGAACTTCCCAGACACCAATTTGCAACAAACTAGAATGCACATGAACTTCCCCAATCAAATAAGTATGTTTAAACTGTATTATGCTGATTAATATATTTAAAATAAAATTATAAAAATGTTTTTCATTTTATGATAATGATTTATTATATTTATTTTTCCGTTTTCCAGCTACCAATTTGGAAAATCCTGGAATGCAAAAGAACTTTCTTAATCAAGGAAGTATGTTTAAATTGTATTATGCTGATTAATATATTTAAAATTAAATTATAAAAATGTTTTTTATTTTATGATAATGATTTATTATATTTTTTTTTTCACTTCCCAGCTACCAATTCGGAAAAGCCTGGAATGCAAATGAACTTTCCTAATCAAGGGAGTATGTTTAAATTATATTATGCTGATTATTATATTCAAAATCAAATTAGAGTAGTGGTTTTTATTATATGACTATGATATACATAATTTTTTTTTCTTCCTAGCCACCATTTTACAACAACCTGGAATGCAAATGAATTTTTCCAATCAAAGAAGTACGTTCACCATAAATTATGCTGATTAATCTATTTAAAGAAAACTTAGTACACCTTAAATACTAGTAGGGAAAATTAAATTACTATACATTTTCCACATATTTTACATGTAAATTTTGTTAATATTACATAATTAGTTCCGTTATAAATCTGAAATAAATGTTTAAAATCATATGACCAACACTAACCAGATGGGTGCTCTCAATGATCTATAGGCAACTGATCTAACTTATAGAACTATTTCGACTCTCTTAATTTTGTTTATAACATTAAAAATCATAAAGTACAGAACTATTAATTAAATTTTTAATTTGTATCAAATTTAATGATTAAATATTTATAAAAAGTAACAGAAGTTGTTATATTATTGTTGATTTATCAGATATGTATTATTCAATGCCTGTACTCAATGTACACCAAGGACGTTTAAACTTTCCTGTATCCCACGTGACCAGTAATCAAATCTTCAATGGAATCCCTGAAGACCTTGCTGCACAGAATTCACGTTATGAAATTGTATGGAATCCCTCTTTACAAGAACCTCAAAAAAAACCCACACAAAATAGAAAATCACAATTTAAATCTAGGAGTAATAGAAAATCACAATTTAAATCTAGGAGTACTTGTAATAATAAATACTCCCATGGTGTATATAGAATCCTTAAATACTCCCATGGTGTATATAGAATCCTTCATTTAAATCTAGGAGTACTTGTAATAATAAATACTCCCATGGTGTATATAGAATCCTTCCTGTTGGTGTATATAGAATCCTTCCTGTGCCGTCTCGACCGTATGAAATAATAAATACTCCCATGGTGTATATAGAATCCTTCCTGTGCCGTCTCGACCATATGAAATTTTTCCTGTGCCGTCTCGACCGTATGAAATTTCATGGAACCGTATGAAATTTCATGGAATCCAATTTTACAAGGATTGTTTGAAAAAAATCCTCAAAACTCAAATATTCTACATGAAAATCTTGTTGCCCGATCACATTTTACTAATATTTTATACTATACATTTTTACAAGGACTTCAACAACAACCCACAGATAATATACAGCCACAACCTGAGTCTAGAACTCATGCATTTGGACTTGTCAATAGCATTATTGATTTAAATTTTGGATTTGACCAAATTGATGCAATTCATATACTCTTGGGCACCAGAAGTAAGATCATTTTTTTTTACAAAAACATTGTGATACATAAAACTAATACCATTGCAAATTTAACAAAATAATTTTGCATATTAAAAAAATGTATTTTCTAAATTTTTACATTTAAAATTTATGTAATACTAGATACATATTTAATCAATTTTTAAAGTAAATTAATTTCCTCTTTCAAATAAAAATATGTTCTTATCACAACTCTTGCATCAATTTAGAAAACTAATTCATTAAAGTTAAGCAAAAGATTGTTTTAAAATATTTGAATAAAAAGAAAAATTTACCTAACCAGAAGGTTGTTATTTTTTTAAATTTGTATATTGTGTTTAAATGTATAAAGTATTATTTGTTTACTTATATAAGACACTAGAGTACTGCATAGGCAACCAAAAATAATACATATTTAAAACATTTTTAGCGCGATTTGCAATTGTACCAGTTTCTCAAAAAAAGCCAAATGTGTTGAACAATTGTTATATTAATATGAAATCATTTAACCGACAACAGAATGATTGATTTGAAATAAACACTGCAAAGGTACTTGAATTAATAATGTAAATTTATATTAAATTTTAATTTTCATTGTATTTTAGGGAATGTTTTGTAATTTACAAATACCCATGCAGAATACTAGTGCAACTAAATTTTTGCCATTAAATTTTAAACTTAATAGTAATAATATTCAGCATGAGAGTATGCATCTATTGGTAAATATTATACTTATTTATATTCTTAAAAGGATGCAATTTAATTTATATATGAATTATGTTGTAGCAACAAGGTGCCAAACACAATAGTATAAATGATAAAACTACTAATCCTACGCCTCTTTCAATTGGAGAAGACATACATTTATATTGGACTGGAAATGCTTGTATTCCAACAGGTAAATTACAAGTTACAAAATCAAATATATGACTAAAAATAAAAATGAATTGAAAAATGAAATAGTAATTTAAGTTATATTTAAATTATTTATATTATTAAACCAATATATCCATCAATAATCAGAAAAATTGATCATTATTGGTTTATAAACTCAATAACACATTATAAAAATAAAAATAAACTTATTTAATTTGAATAATTTATAGGTATAGTGGAGTTATTTAAGCAACAATACTCAATAGTAAAATTACTTATGTTGTATTATATTTATAAATATACATTTTAGATGAGGAAACATTGAAATATAATCAATAGACTTAATCTATTATTTTAATTTTAAAGCTAATATACAAAGAATACAAATTTAAACAACTCATTAGGTATAGAATTTTAAATTTCTTTAATATTATATTTGATAACAATGTTGAATTTTTTAAAATTAAGGTTATTATGAGAAATGTGGAATTTATTGTCTTTATTATGATATGAGAGTTTTATATCTATAGAAATATTGTTCAGGTCATTAACTTTAGGAGTAGTTTCTGGTAGTGTTGCCGGAATTTCAAGTTATATTCTTATATTACAAGGTTATACAATTATTATACACCTTACCACCATATTTGCAAACCAGGAATCACTGTGTGTCAGTGATTATTGACTTTAATAATATTTTACCAGGGGATGTGATTTTCGGGGTAATACTGATTTTAATCAAAATGTATAAAGAAAATAAACTACTAATACCACTCACCCATAACAAGTATTTCAGGCGGTAGTGTTTGGTTATAAGTTTTGGTACCACTGATTTTTAGTAGCAAATAATGTATAGTTTGTGCATTAAATAGATCAATATTTTATTTCTTTGATTTTTTTTTATAATTAAAAAAAAAAATGTAGTTATACAAAGAATATTATGCTATAACAATTTCCATAATTTTGGCTTTTGTTTTTTAGTATAATTTATTTAAATTTTCATAGAATTGAAGTTTTATATAAATATCTAAATTTAATATTATATGCTTCTGTATGTAGTAAAATTCAGTTTACTTTTTAGCTATGATAGCCATTTAAAATTGTCTAGCTTTTGATTAGTTTCATCTATTCTAAAATCTATCTATATATTTATTTTATACCTACCAAAAATGTTTGCGAATTGAATACTATGTCCATTTTAAGTTATATTTCATAGTAAATAAAAATACCTTTATCTCCTTAGTAGTTTTTTGTAGTTTTTTTTTTTTATTGTTCAGTTGAAAGAAAATTGTAAAAATAATTCTATATAAATTTAGTTAGCTATTTGACAAAAGATGAAAATGTACCCAGTGTCTTTACCTACACTCAATGTGCTGCAAGAACCTTCAAACTTTCCCGTGTCCCTTGTGAGTAATTATCAAAATTTCAATGGATTAACTAGAAACCTTATTGTACAGTCTCAGACTATTGGGGTGGCTTACAAGAAATTAATACAAGCATGTCAACAACAAACCACACAAAACATACAACCACAATTTGAATCTAGGTTTACTAGTAATAATCTAAACTTTGGTGGTCTTCCTGGAGACCTTGCTGTACAGTCTCAACCAATTTTATGCAATCGAATTTTACAAGCATCTTATGTACAACTTATACTAAGTATAAAACCACACCTCAAATCTAGTATTACTAGTATTTATCAAAATTTCAATGGTCTTCCTGGAGACCTTGCTGAGTCTTGACATTTCATAAAATACATTTTTACAAGCACCTCAAAAACAATCCACACATACTATACAGCCACAATTGAGTCTTGAACTAAAGCCATTAAACTTGTCAATACCAGAGTTGATTTAAATATTGGATCTGCCCGAATTGATGGATATCATATTATATTATTCCCGAGCACCATAAGTAAGATAATTTTTTTACTAGATTTTTGTGATACATAAAACACCATAGCAAATTTAACAAAATTAATTTCCGTATAGAAAAAAAAAAGAATTTTTACAGATATATAGATATCTATTATGATGTAGGCGTCCACTAAGAAGGCTTCAACACGATTGATTATAAAACACATTTTTTATGACACAATTGAATAAATTTATTTGTGTATTAAAGGATATAGAATTACAAAAGAAAACCTAAACGATTGAGTTTAAAAAAAACTCTGAAATGTTGCCATTTTCAATTTTGAACTATGGTATACACAAAATTTTATTTGAATAATTATAATAATTCAAAATATAATATGAATTAAAAAGAATAACATGATTTCATAGTAAATAATCATCAAATTTTATAGATCTGTTTAATAATAATAATAATAGTGTTAAAAATATTAGCCTCTTTTTGATAAAATTATTATAATATTTTATATATTTTAATATATTGTATATATCCATATTTAAAAAATAAAAATGGACATTTTTTTTAACTCACTTCATATAACACGATTATGAATGATCAAACACTATATAAAATGAATTATATCTATAATAATTTTGGAATAGTTACTTATATTCTATAACCCTCTTTTACAGTCAGTATATTATGGATACAATTTGTTGATATCACAACTCATTTTTTAGTTTGGTATCATAATATTTGGTGTAATACAACGAATAATAATGTTAGGTACTATCACTGGATGGCCTCCTTCCTCATGTAATCATTGTTGTATTATATTTTATTCTCTAATTTAGTTATTGTACTTTATAACATATATTGTAATTATTCTTTTTAAAAAATTAATAATAATAATACATGAAAATATAAAATTTCCACAATGACAAATAAAATATTCTATGCTCAATTGTGTTGCTAAAAATATATATGTTCAATAGTAATGTACACGCTAAGAAAGGGTTTTTGAAAATTTAACCCCCTAAGGGTTTATTTATTTATTATTGTTTATCTTGGTGATATGGATGACAATTTGGTTTTCATGGTCAAGAAAACTCATATTATTTATTTTATTTACAGTATTATGTAGCAATAGCAAAGCATTGTTGGGTCAGCTAGTATTTTCATAAAAAATTTAAGTAGTAATTTAAAATTTTGAGCAGGTAAACAAATTTAAAAATTTGCTACATAAATAAAGCAAAAATATAATTTATAAAATATTTCATACAGTGATATATTTTGTTACATTTGATACAATATTTGTAGTATTAAGTACACGAAAAAAAAATGAATTCTGAAATACATAACAAATATTATTGGTTTCTGGTAATGTTCTTTAATAAAAATAAAGATATTCATAAAAACTTAATGTTATTAAAATTTTATACCCAAAGTGAATGATAGGTTCAAATTTTTTAATTAAAGAGTGACAATGTGTTTAAAAAAAAAAAAATAAAATATTGGTTTCTAATGGTTTCAACTATAATTTAAATAAAGTAAATTCATTTCTGCAACAAATATTTGAAGCCTTGAACAACTATCTAATTTAAGTGATATTAACAATGTAACATCTATAAATCTCAACATAGTAATATACCCCAAACTGGTACTTTTATGGGTACAAAATCACCAATCAGTACACCAAAGTACCTAATTAATGTCAAAATTTCTGTTTCAGAAACTTCTGACACATTTTCGTGTTTAATACAATTGTCAGAAAGTACACACAATTTATTTTTTTCATGTCAAAGTAAAATAATCTGTTTTTCAATACTTTTAATGTAATAAGCTTTAATTCTTTAATATAGTATTCTAAATAAAACTTATAGTATATTTAAAATATCCTTCCAGAACATTGTGAATTTATATATTCCTCTCCTAGTTGCACCTATGCCTATGGCACCAACAAGGGGAGGAGTTAGAGGGACCACTCTCCCCTTAGCTCTCCAGCAAGTTAAAATAATTATATCCAAATTCAATAATTTAAAATCCCAAAATTTAAATTCATTGTATTTTTTCCGAGAAATTGTTCAAGTTTTTATGAACATAGTTGTATCCCGGATAGTGTGGGTAAACATCAAAAGGTTTTAGTTTTTATGTTATTTTGGTGATCATTACTGAACGTGTATGTATAATATTTTCAAAATATCCAAGAATCACTAATAATAATAATAATAATATTTTGATATTCTATGAGTACCTAGTGCGATAAGCTGATAATGTAATTTATAAAAATATATAAATAGGTACCTTTTAGTTTCTTGTAATTATTGTTTATTGTTTAGTACTAATTATTTTGCGTTCAGTGCTGTTCAGTTCAATAATATATTTTATAATTTTTCATATAACTTAAAATAATCATAAATTTATAATTTTGAATAATATTATTAAATGAATACAATGAATATCTGATTTTTGAAAATCAGTTTTACAATATATCCCGAGACAAACTTATTTGGTAAAAAGACAAACAAATTTTTGAGTTCATATTTTATTTAATTCTTACTCAATTTAGTATGGACATATGTTTTATATGTGTTTAGTTTATTAAACTAAAAAAAGTTAAGTTTGTGTTTTGCTTTTGTGCCAACTGTGTATGGATCTAGCATAAGCTATATTTTAATCCTTCTTATAGCAGAAAAAGATCGTTTACAAGTAGAGAGTATTAATGCTACTTTTAAAATTTGATAACATTGATTTATTTGCAATTTGTATTAATTAATCAAGTTCCTGTGTTATTGTGATAAACAATTATTTGCTACCATCAATTCTACTTTTAATAATTTGGAATCATTTTTAAGTAATGTTTGGTAAATATGATTAAAAGTGTTAGAATCATTGGTATTTACTTCTAAAAATGATCAGTGGTATTCACATAAAATAAACTTTCATTTGAAAACAAACCATTCAATTCAGTGTTTTTCAAACTGTGTTTCGTGGGGGTAATCCAGAGGCTCTGTGGACACATCTAAATTAATTTTGTTTTGTTTATTGACTATTAATCGTTCGATTATCAAATAATCATTACTAATTAAATTTCGTTAATTGGCAAACATTTAAATAAATATTTTTTTTAACATTCATATATATATATAATTACTCCAATAATTACTCATTTTAAATAATCTGTCCTATTAAAATACATTATTTCTATGTAAAACAACTAATTTGTATATTTTTTTGCCATGTATTCTTGTCATTTATTTTTTCAAATTTAGTCAGATTTTATTTTTTGAGTTTGTAATTTTACCTGACAATGAATTTTTAATTAGAAAACGATCATACAATATATATTTCATAATACTATACTCCAGGTAATGTATTATTTTATTTATTTATATATTTAAATAAAATTTATCAATACAAGCATAAAATAACCATTAACCACAACTTTCAAGCCAAATTATTAAAAAAATTACAAAAAATGTTTATGGAGATCGGGTTTGTGACCCTTGGAATGACATCTACTAAAATCGGGTTTACTACCCTTAGGATGACATCAGTTACATAAAATAACTATATTCCATTTGCCGTAAGACCACAACTTGTCCACGAATTCCCCACCACGTGGCTACTGATATCTGAATGCCACTGCATGACCATAGATAAGTATACTTATACTTAGATTTTACGTCTCTCTCTTTACTCAAATAATTTTCGTCAAAATTTAATATTAAAATTTCTTTATAAAAAAAAAAAAAAAAAATACTACATAAAGCTCAATTTGTTTTCACTACAAAGTATGATATTTAAGGAACCTCCTGTTCAATTTTCAAGCATTTCTGTTATTCTAATCATTTTATTCATAAAGCCATAAATCCATTGAGCCATAGAGCCCATATCTACCAATTAAAAATTACGTACAAAACTCGCCAAATTAAAATATCTATAATAAACTCGAACATGGATCAAATGTTATACAAATTGTATCACGTTTAAAAAAAGCAAATATAAGTTTTCTGTTTAAACGTCAAGTCTTTATAAATGTATTAAACTAAATTTATTAAAAACAAAGTTTACAAAAAATAAAAGCATTAGTTTTGTAAATTTTCCCATTTTTTTCTCCGGTTTTGCTCGATAATAAAACAAAACATCAAGGAAAATAAAAAATGATTTTCTTACTCACCAGCGAGATTAAATATAATACAAGTAGAGAAATAGTTGATTTAGGGATTAAAGTAGGATTATGGGAGTCTAAGTCTCCTATTTATTCCCCTTAAACACGCCTTTTAACATAGAATACACATAAAGACAGAATATACAGCAATTTGGCATTGTTTTTTTAACGAAACAACTAAATGTTCAGAATCTATTTTTTCAAAGGATAGACTAATATATAAGGAAACGGTAGAATACATATACATGTGTATTTAAAACGCAATAAATCTAGAGTTAAAAAATTAAAAATAATTTGTCAAAACCATGTTAGAGAAGGAATTACATCAGCCGTTACTTGGAGGCATATTCATATTGTAAAGTTCCTAATGTTCCGTGTCGGTCTGGGTTTTTTAATGCATTTATGCATTTATTTACGCATATGACAGATCGGCTTATATACTAAATGTATCATAAATAAAAATATAATAATAGTAGATAATCAAAAATAAATAAATTTATAGGAAAGTGGTAATAACAAAAGAAGTAATAAAAATAAAAACTTTTTTCGCACAGCAAGTTCACCAAGCTATTTCACTACGGCTGGACCTCATTCGTGCAGTTTTACCAGCCCTTTTTCGATAGGGCACATCTCCACAATGTGCGTGATATTCTATACCTTACCACATTCGCAAAGTGTTGAGAATGGTGAATCAGCCATGCCCCGTTTTTAAATGATGATAGATTATATTTAACGAAATTTGATTTCAACCATGGAAACAATAACATTATGATGTCGGACACAAAACATCGTAATGTAACAAAAAACGTAACTTAGAAATTGATAATACAATATTGATTTGTCGTTTCTACGGTAATACTTTTCACGTTTATATATTAAAATATTATTATGTAATATTATTAAATATTCTAATATTGAACGCATACAATTTTGACCCGCATAATAATGTAATTATTGTATCGATAAAATAAACATTATAGTTACGAAATATTCGCATCAAGATAAATATTTAGCCATTATGGTATACGACGTGGTGAAATTCGGAAAAACCAATACCATTCTGAATGATTTCTATGACACGAGCAAAACTTTGGTTTTTTGGATGAATATTTTCTTGGTCATGTTTAGCATAATAACTGGTAATTCATAATATAATTTATTATATATATATATATATATGTATAAATATACATCGTATCTATTGTATGTTATATTTTTCTTCTTTGTAATTGGACTTGCTCCGTTTATATAATAATAAAAATACAAAATAAAATAAAATAATATGCATAAGACGTAAGTACATTAATTTTTAAATGAGCCTATGTCACTCAGTACCTATCTTTTTTTCTACAATAAATACCATGCACTATTTAAATTCCAAAAAACCGTCAGATCGTGTAGAATCCCAAAATAATAATTTGGAAAATTTAGATTGAATTTAATATTATCATATGCAAGCCCGGATTAAGGGAGAGGAGGCACGTCCCAGGGGCCCATGTATGTAAAGGGCCCATAGTCTTCTCGGCTTAAAATTACATTGATTGGTAATTTGTACTTTTTATAGTGCACAAGAATATTTTTATTTTTATTTTTTTCTTGTTTGAACTATCAGATGAACTGCCCTACCAACCCGCCTACCATGTTTACCACCATGGACATGGTAAGTGGGAACACATGGCCATGTTTGTATGTGTAAGGAATAGAGATATATTTTGTTATTGCTGTATTTAAAAATAGAATTATTGGGAAAATATGTTTATGTGAGTATGTGACCATTGTAGATACGCAGAACACTGATACTTTTACATAAAATACGTACTTAATTTTATTTGTAGATAGATGTATTGTAATAAAAAATAATATATTTTTAATATTTTTATTATTCTTAATTAAAAACGTTTAAATTCGTTTTATTATACATTTTTATTATTTTAAAAAGTTGTTTTCATTGGTGGAGGCCCATAACTATGTATTGATCCCTAAGCACCTGAAGGTCCATAAAAAAAGGTTTTTAGGACATCCAAAAAGATTTTTTTTTTTATCAGAGGGCGAGGCATTGGACTTATTTTTTATGTTTGTGATGCCCACTGCTAATATTATTTCTTTTTTTGTCATAACAAATAAAATCATCACTAAAATTATATAAGTACACATTTAATTTTTATAAAAATATCGTTATAATATATTCTTATATTAGTTATATGTACGGTATTATACAAAAATTAATACATTCAGAACCTAAGCAAAAATCGTTAAACTATTTTATCTCTTCCATCAAGACTTCAATTTTTATACTTTATTTTAATTTTACTTGACTGATTTTTTTTTTGTTTTTCAGGAAAATCTCGTTGCTTATGGGCAATCGTGATTACGATTCTTAATACGATGGCCGCGATGTTCCAACGAAAACCCCTGGACCTGGACCAACTCCACAGGGACACAATAGTTTATCGGGAACTTGCAAGACGGCGTCGAATATACACTATCAGTCAGACGGCGCATGAAAAATATAAAATAGTGGATACTGTTAGAAAATGGTTGCTATCGACTTATGGTTAGTTCAATAGTTTGTGCCATTTTTCTCCAAACTTGAAGTACGGCGTTCTTCTGTCGTCTATATTATCCCATAATCAAAATAAAAAATTCTCACTCTGCACCTATAAATTTCAAATGCTGGCCAAAATTATTTCCTGGATATTTTCTAAATCCCGGAGTTAATTTATCAGTTAATAAGTTAAACATATATCTAAAATTTAAAAATTACGTAATATTTATTATATGCTACTAGTTAATTACAATTACCTATATTAAAATGTTCATCACTAACATTTGTTTTCTTTGAATGTTTCGTTCCTCGCTATATACTCTGAATCTAAAATGAATAATGCCATCGAAAATTATTTATACTTTTCTTTTTTTTTTGCTTTTTGATGGGCAAATGTATTAATAGTGTCATTAAAATCTGCTTTTAAAACCAATTCTGCTTCAATGCTAAATACTGCAAATGCATTCAGTCTTTTCTCCTTCACGGTTTACCTCAAATGGGATTTTACTATTTTAAGAACGGAAAAAGCCATCTTACTTAAGCAGTTTGAAATTGTTGTACTAAGATACATACGCATAATTATTTCCAAATTCGGAACCATCATTTGGATTCATTTCGTCAACAAAAATTTTTCTAAATGTACGATAATAGTTAAATCAGTCTTAGTGACTAAACTGGGTATCTTTAAGACGTCCATTTTAATTTTGTCTAGAAAAAAAAAGTAAAATACAATAACAGTCAAACTAAGCTCACCATACCAAAACATGTCGATGCAGTGTGATGCCGGGTTTAATTTACTATTTCAGATTTCAGATATTTCAATAAAAATAACATCAGGACAGTTTATGGTGCCCCCAAATCTGTCGATGTGTAAGCTGCAGCCTACACTTCTTACGTAATGCAGAAATATCAATGTCAGTATCGGGATGGTATAGTAAAATAAAAATTAGGTAGATAATTTTGTAAAATCACCAGGCTACAAACAATTCAAAGCCAGTATAATTTACACGTTATAATAAATAATTTTAGAAATTCTAATTTGTTCACCTTAAAAGTTAAAATTCAATATTTTCGACTGATTGATGGTCCATTGTATTTTAAATTTGGAGTATAGTAAAGAATTTATTTGGTTTACAATGATAATTATTTTCTTCATAGTGTGTACAAAATATCTACCAGAAATCTTACTCCAATGTATCAAGTGTAGGAATCAGAAAAACCGAAAAACCCAGTAGGAAAAACTGAAGAGTTTACGAAACTTATTATTTTCAATTTTATTTTTAGTTGCGATTCAGTTTGAAATATTCGTAGAGACTTAAAATTTGAACATAAAACTTAGACTTTCTTTTTCTAAACTTAATGAAATTTAAAAAAAAAATTTGAACAATTTTGATCTATTTGTTGACATTTTTATTTTGTGAGTTTTTTACATAATTTTTATTCAGTAGATACTCTGTGGATAAAATTGTTTACTAAACAGAAATGCTTGAAAATTTAACAAGAGATTAAATATAAGTCGTACTTTGTGGTAAAAAAAAATCCACTCCGAATCGTATTTCGTTAGCAATGGTTAATCGTCACGTACAGATATAAATTTAATTCTTCTCTATATCCAACCTTCCTAACTTTCCGTCTGCGCACGGCCCGACCAATATCAGGTGAGTCACCTTAGGAGTTTAACCATCATCTAGCGAGAATACACAAGCCCGGTCAAATCCTACTGCACGACACTGACCTTAGAACGAATCAACTGCTGAGGTCTCCGTTAGGTCTAATCTAATCGAGTGAGGTTGACACCGTGATTGTGAAAATCACTCGATCGGCTCCATAAATGTCATGAGTTTGACGTGTTTTGACGCCTAGAGGCAGACGGAATGAGAGGAGAGCCTACACCGGGGGCCCCAGGTGTCTACCAATTCACTATTAATAACACAATCCCCGTGGCTAGGAATAAGTGGGCCAGCCGAGAATATCATACGGAACCACTCAGCGGTTAGAACGCTAGAAGACCCTCGACAGACTAGGTGAAAAAGAAAGCTCTTGGTCCTTTAACTCACCAGATGCTTTCTCTGTGGGGAAGTACAGGCACTCGGATTCTACCCAAGAATTTGCACATGTTAGCTTCACACCGAGAATAAATCCGCGATGTTACTGGTATATATATTACCATGGAGAGGTCTGTGCTGTCCAGATGGGCCGAGCAATCACACAGATAATTTGGCTCATCTAAAAAGCTGTCACAGTGACAGAAGTAGGAACTAAATCCAACCCCTGTCCCTGGTAATAGGCTTCCCTACATTTTTACCTACAACAGTGGCCTACCTGTAATGCAAAATATGTCAGTCATTTTAATTTTGAATGTAATACACTGCAATATAGAAATCAATAATTTTAAATGAAATTTTTTTTAAAAAAAAAATAGAACATTTTCATTAATATTGTATAAATGTAATAAGAACAAATTAGTTAATATAGGTATATTTTTTATTTCCCTCTGCAGTAGATATAGGCATCTATCTCAAAATACCTAATCAAATTTATATACATCCAATTTTATGATGTTTAGTCTAAATTTTAATATTTTTAGTGGTCTCTAGTAATATGTACTATAAAATATAAATAGTTACTTAATCATATTTTTTTTCCAGATCTATTGGGAGAAAAATTGTTCAATTTCATGGCTGACAATAAATTCCAAAAATATCATCAAAGCACTGATAATATTCTATTGACCAGAAATCACAAAGACTTAAGTTCGTTCCGAAATTTAAACGTCATTATTACACATCATGATGCAAATACTGAAGACAAATATGAATCAGCGTTATTAGGAACCCTTTGCACACAATGTTCACGTCAATTATGATAATTATACCTAATAATTCATGTAATACAGATAGTCATTTAATTTAAGCACTTAAATAATTTCTATATAATGAATAATTACCAATTAAAAGCTTTACTTCTTAAAATAGGAATGTTCAGATTCGTCTTATTTTAAGATCATTTTTTTTTTTAAGTAAATGCTGAGTTTCAATATCAATTCTTGATGGTTAAAATGTTAGGCAAACTTTTACTTGTTTTTTTTCTTTTTAGTAGAGGAGAATGTGTTTTGTATTTTGGTCAGTTGCATAAAGATGATGCCACAGGTGTTGATATTTGGGTTGAACAAATGATGGATGTATATATGTAAAATATGAATCTACATGCAAGAAGAAAAAAAGGAAGTCATATAAATCATTAAAAGTTGTTCAGTTGATGTGTGATGAAAATTAACTTATTAAGGCTTTAAAATCACTTAATCATGAATTAATGAATTATTCAAACACTATAAGTTTTAGTGTATATTTTGAAAAATATAAATCTTTTCTATAAAACTAAAACAAAGACTCGAGATATAAAATTAAAATATAAATTTATATGGTTTAAAGATTCAAAAATTTTGTTAAAAACTCTGAAACCATAAATGTTATAATATTAATTGATAACAAAAACAATTTTATTAATGATATAGCCTTAAATCTGAACTTAGCTAAATTATATTCCTTTGCTGATCATTGTAAATTATTCAGATCTATTAAATCGGTTAATAACTCTTATTTTCTACAGAGTGATATTAATCTAAATGATGTGTTATTTCTTTTTATCAAAAAAAAGAACATACACAATTTTTATATTCAAACTTATCAAACTTTATGTTACTAATCATCACACATATTAAGGATTTGGGAATTACGTTTACTTCAGATTTAACTTTTAACCGTCATATTTCTATAATTATCAATAAGGTTGTAAGACAGTTAGAATTTATTAGACTACATTATAATAATTTTAATAAAATTTTAACCCTAAAAACGCTTTACTATTCGCTCGTGTCTCAATAATAGTTCCTCTCTCTGGTGACCACATCGACTTTATATAATACAAGATCTAGAATCTACAAAAATCAATTTCTTTCCTTTGTTTCCATGATTGCAATATCTACAGAACTCCGCATTCATCATAAACAAACCTACTTAATTATGTAAATTTAGACACATTATATACGAAATATAAGATTAGATCTAATCTATGTGTACGAAATAATAAATAATTGCATAAATTGTTCTGAATTATTGACAATGATATTTTTAAAATAAATGAATATTATAATTACGCAATATTAATTTCTACACTAACTCTGCTACTAAATTAATCAGATGTTACAATTAGCAAATAAATTTAGATAGTCCCTTATGTAAATAGTATTTATACATTTAAAAATAGGCTTAAGTTTTATGTTTTGTGATCAATTATTTAGAGAGTGGAATTTATCTGTATTGATTTAATTAGTTTATAATTTACTGTACATTATATTATAAAATTATAATTGGACTTTTAGTCCATTTGTAACATAAAATTAAATCAACTCATACTTAAACTATAACACAAAATACTTTAACGTCACATCTGAATGTATGAATACTTTCATTATCTACACAAATTATTTTTTAAATGTACTTTATATTAATATAATAAGTATATAATATTATTATTATATCTATTTGAATTAATATTAAATCTACTTAAATTATAATTATTATTTTAATTTTATGCAATATTTGGAAAAGTATTTATATTGTGATTATTAACATGATAAACGTTTTAGTATTAACATTTCCATTGTAATTATTATTAAAATAGAAATTTTAATAATAGATTTTTAATAATTCAACCTGTAGGTTGATTGTAGTAGATTTGTTCTTTTATTTCTTTATAACATTCTAATTTCTCAGCTCTTGCTATTTGTTTGGCCTGTTCTATATATGCTACTAAAGATTGTCCAAAAATTTGTTCCATAATTGTCTTTGTTTTGTTTTTATCCTTTTCTATTATATTGGCATTAAAAGTTTATAATATACATCCTCTACTCGTATTGAATCAGAATTTACATCCTTGCCTGGACACATTTTTATATGATTTAATTGCAATTGTAAAATAGATGGTAAAAATTTTGTCTCAAATGCTTTCAGTAAATATTTCCTAATGTTTTGTACTAATATCTTTGTACTTAATAATCTACCAACATTGTCAATTAATTTAGCTGTTATACATTTTAATACTAAAGGTAAATCGTTGAGTTACTAAGGCTACATCGCATTCATTCATAAATCCAAAAATTTCTTTTGTTCCTGAACAGTTATGTACTAATTTAAGAGCCTCATCTAGTTTCCTTCTTTTGGAAAATATTTAATTTTTGTCTAGATTTCATTTCAAAAGTTAATTCCTGTTGTTGTATATTTGTTTGGCTATAAGTAGTTATTTGCGTAGTTATGATTTTTATTCATACCTAAATTGGTAATCAATTTAACAAACTAGTAATCATCAAATATTAATAAAATTCTGTAATCAATATTATAAAACCAAATTATACACTTATTATAATATAACTACAATGACCAGATCTCTTTTGTAAGACAGTACTCTTTTAGATTCTGAGTGTAGCGAAGAAGCTCTAATGGTATTACAAAGATGTTTTTTTTTTTTTTATCTGTGCACAACTTTTCAACCAACAATTTTGTTCTCATTTACTATGAAAGCGATTTTTCTGAAAGCAAATTTTACTGGAAAGATACTTTAGGGAGGTGGTTTTTTGATTTTCCAATGATTTTTCCCAGCAAATGTGAAAAACATGGGAAAACCGAGTAAAATTTGGGAAAACTGGGAAAATCAGTACAACATTACACAAATATTATTAAAATATATATATATAAATCCCATTTAATTATTATCCTATATGACATATATATTGTTGACAAAGCATCACTATCAACTGAACTCCGCTGAGAATCGGTTTTTTTGTCAGCAATGGTTTATCGTTGCTTACACATATACATTAAATTATCTATAACAGTTGCTGCACCAGTCTCCATTATTCTAGGATGTCTTTTTTGATTCATTGTCCTATCTCCTTTAAAATAGTCTTAGGTACATGAAGTTATATTATTTTTTTGAAAAATCTAGGCTAACAGATGTTTATAATTTTGTATAATTTGCTTATTCATTTATATTTTAATATTTTAAGGTTTGACCTAATACATTCCAAATGTCTAAAAATAAAAAAAAATTAACATCTTTTAAAACCATAAGCTTCTTTACTCTACTCAGAATCTAAAACAAATATTAGTACCTTTAAAAAATTCTGTCAACCAAATAGTATTAAATATTAATATAAACAAATAAATAAAATAAACTGCTATTTGTAAATACAAAGTTATAATTGTTTAAACCTATCGTTTATCTTAGAAAAAGACTTAATTTTCTTCAAAGGCATTTTATTAAAACATATTTTAGATATAGGGGCCATTACATTTTTCACATTATATTGATTGCCTTATTAGTGACTTTTTCAATACCTTTTTGATGAAAAATGTCACAACTCTGTTTTGAAAAATAAAAAATAAATTACCAATATTAGCAGTTTGAAATATTTTAATAATTTACCAAAACACTAACATGTTCCTATATGTTATTAGCTTGGTCATCAATACATTTGCCAAATCCTTCTCCATTTTATCTATAAAAAATGTAATTTTAAGGATTAAAATATCAAATTTGATTTGTGATTTATAAAAATTATAATATTTCACTGAAGTAAAATAATACTTCACTGATTCATCTTGATAAGTTTTTATATGAACATGTTCGTTATCAATTGATGGTACATTTCTTTAATGCCACAACAGATAAATTATTTGTTTCATCAATTAGGTTAGGTTAGGTTATGTTACCTTTAACATTATTTAATACAACTATGAATATTTTAACTTAATAATGCATACAAATTTAATAATAAACTCACAACAAGCATGGACTTTGGTTCAGGTAATTCATCACCACTAAATAAATTTGAAATACTGTGCTAATTCTAAATTCACTAAATTTTTTTTAATAATAAATTATTTGGTTTCAACAACAATTGTATAAACGTTAAAATATTCTGTTTTAACTCAAGATTAATGTCTAAAATAAAACAAATATCCCTAAAACTGACTAAATTATTTTTGTTTATGTAAGTTTTTTATAACCAGAAAGTTTACCATTAAATTTAGGATCAGTAGAAACTTTCAAACCAGGATGAAACATCAAATAGCAATTGATCTCAGAAAAATAGAATGTTATGTGCGCCCTGACTGATTGAAGTTCTTGATGTTGTTTGTGAAATATTTGTAGCCTTCGGTCTAAAATATCCTTGTCTCCTTTTGCAACGTAATTGGCTTCATAAGAAAAACTCCAGTCTCCCACTAAAATTGTAATTTCTGAAATGGTCTTTATCAGTATCTTTAAGAACTAAATGACTGTACTCAGTGAACAGCTAAAAATATGAAAATATATTTCATTAGTTGACTAATTTGTTTAAAATTATGAATTTAAAAAATTACTTGTAGATATTTTAAATCATATTCTTGTATGTTTTGAGATAATTGTAAATTTATATTGAACTAAGAATAGTGCATAATACTAAGAAAGGACTATGACATAATCTTTGACTGTGCTCTTGCCATCAAATGTACCTTGAGTATCCAGTAAAATAACAGCAACTTTTTCTCCATTGTCTAATGTACTCTTAAATATTTCTGATCACATGTGTATACCTGTAGTATCACTTTCAAATCCTCCATCCCATGAAAATCCATCCAATAGTTGATTGTCCAAATTATTTCAATGAGTGTTTTCATTTGTTTGATTTAAATAATGCTAAAATATTAAATTTACTTAATATTATATATAAACTAACATACTAAAGCTATAATTAAATTATATTTATATTATTCTTTATTGTAGATCTCATGTATCTTAGATAAATATCCAATAAAAAAATTTGCCTTTTTTGGAAAGCTACAGTAACAGAAACAACAACCATATTTAGATTTTTTATGGTATCCTTCAAAAGTATACTTCAAAAAGCTTCTTTGTGTAATATAAATATATATGTAGTATATTATGCACTACCATATCCTGTGTATGGTATTTTCCACAACAATGGACAGTGGTTTATTATGACTAATACCATTCTGAATGTTTTCTAGACTTCCAGTGTATCTAAATAAAAAACAACTAATTTTTTTAAGACCTTTGTTATAGTTTACACTTTTTAACCAATATTTTTTTCTAATAAAAAAATACTACTATACCATCATTAATTAATCAACT